TATATAGAGAGAGAGAGAGAGAGAGACGAGGGAGAGCGAAGCGCATTCACGAACGGGCGACCGCGTTACAACGTTAGATCCGAGCACCCACCTGTACGCCGCCGCGCCGAGTCTTTATCGAGCCATCAATTGTTTGCGGAATGAAAATATTGTCCCTGTAAACAAGTGGCTACATTGTGCCAAGCGTGCGCGGCGTTCTTCGTTACAACAAATCACTCCCCCTCCGCTCTTTCTCGCCGATCTGCCTTCCACCGCTCGTTAGACTCCCGCCACCGAGCCGCGGCACAAGTGCGCGATCGAGTGCCATTCGTTTCGATTAGTCCCAATCGGCGATTCTCCATCTACTATTAAATAACGATTATACATTTACTGTTTGACCTAGATTACGCCATATCGCGAACCCGATCGATTCTTTCCTCTCTAGGCGATTCAACGCCTCGATCGTCGAGTCGAATAAGTTTTTCCTCGCACCCTCCATACAATTATTATTTCTCGATCTTAAAACAACATTAGATAAACGTGCTTCCATCATTTCAACATTTTTTCAATGAAGAGAGTATTCATTTATCAATGGATGACACACTGGGACAAAGTACTGAATACATAATTACAAATAATAAAAATAACAGAAAACACTGACATAGTTTAGCTACTTAATAAATGCAAAGAAACAGGTGTTGCAATCGGTTACCGGCGTCCCATTTTCAAGAGGTCGTACCTCGCGCACAGCGCAAGGCTTTATTAAAATCCGCAATTTTAACAACTTATTTGCCCGCGATAAAAAAAGAGCTGGTATGACGCCCGAACGTTCATTACTTAAATAAAATACGCTCGTTAAACGCGGGGACGTTTCAACGTGAATTAATTTCGAACGCGGAATGAAAAAGTCGATGAGTTAAATTCGCGCGACTCAAAAATTATGAATTAAAACTGAATTGTCCGTTCGCCACTGATTCACCACGAGTTCATCTCCGTGATTTGTCCCGTCATTCTCTTTTCCATAAAACGTATGGACTAAATTATGTCCAAATGACGGATGACTAACATCGTTCGTTTTCGACGATTCCTCGTCGGAGTTCATCAACCAAGCGTTCGACTTGATTTGAACGACCGAAACTGTACGAGGGCCACGACTCGATAAAAGTGTTTTGTCATTTTTACGAGAAGGAGAGAGGAATGACACGAGAGTAGACAGCTGGAGAAACTCGACGCAGGTCCCGAAGAAGGGCTACCTGGGCCCCTGGACCACGTGGGTGGTCCGCTACCTTTTCTTACATTATTAACGCCGTTGATAGCTCGTTGGCACACGCCGGGGCGAACGATGAACGTTCGTTCCGAAAAGGGAAATAGATAGACGCTTTAGAAAATTCGTAGCATAAAGCTATTACTTCTGTACAGAAATGCTGCATTTAATTTATTATCTCGACTCACAGAATAAAAGATAAAAGGCATTTTATTTATTTATTCCATTCACATACTAGAACCCATTTTCATACAAATGATAGATACGTATTACAAGTACAGTACGTCTAAAAAAATTAATAAAAGGATAAAGCATTGAGATAAAAGACTCTCCTAAATAAAGGACGTACGTCGTATTATACAAACAACGCGATCTAATCTTTCTAACCACATCTTATACTCCTTTTTAATTTATTACGTATTTACGAAAACAAAAATATGGGAAGGATTTTTACTTTCGCTTAACGAAACGGGTGAAGGATTCTGAGTGAAGATCGCCGACTCCTCGAGAGACCCAGATTCCTTATTTTTCGGCTCGGCCTAGAAAAACATCTCGGCGAGAGGAAAGCGCGCACCGCCACTCTAAATACCTGTCACGCGATTTCAGGCCGAGTGGCCGAGAGGGGTTTGTTGTTCCAAGGCTCTACGAAACAACAAACTGGCGTAGCCGTCGAGAAGTCAAAGTTTCGCGGGGCCTGGAAAATCAGGTGCATCCACGGCCGGGTCACGTCCGAAAAACACCGACCGCCTTTTGTACGTACACGGGCCAGGGCGATGAAAAAATAACGAAGACGCGAATCATGGGCGCGCGTTAACGACGGGCATACGTAAGTACCTCGCGTGCCACGGCATAAATTCGGGTGAAACCGACTGAATATTTTATTATTGTATTTCAGGCAAAAAGGAGATACGCTGGGTGGATGCGTAAGTATTTATGAAGGAGGAACAGTTGAACGATGAGTAAACTCGAACCAACACGTTCCTCTAAATACAATAGACAAAGGCTTGCATTTGAACTAAGCTGACAGCAAACTGTGTTACAAGATTACCCCTTCAACGCATACACTCTTAAATTGTGAAACTCATATATGCATCTGTTAAATCGAATTAAAATCTAAATATTAATTTAAATAATGATTTTACAATCCTTCAGTTTAATTCCTTTAATATTAATTTTACAATCCTTCAGCTTTTAATTCCTGTTTATCGAACCTCATTCTAAAATCACTAGTCTTCTCGGAAGTAGAAAAATTGCAAATATTCTCGAGTCTTGAAACGGCTCTAAAGCAGCTGCTCTATCGAACGTCCTTAACATTATTTATCGGACTTACTTGGAGTTCCCTCAGAGTACAAAGACAAATCGTGGGAGGGTTCCGCGCGGTGTACAGTATCGAACACACCGTTTACCGGTTAAAAAGTTTGCGCAAACGATTCGCGGGGTCTGGCCTGGCAGACATCGTCGTCGAGCAATTGTGCTCTATTGATCCTGTCAGCGACTCGGTTATTACTCGCAAATATTTACCGATTTGCCGCGATGACAAACAAACGACGTGAGCTGCGATTCGACGAGGCAAGAAAATGCAACATTACATAAAAGAGATGTAACCTGAATAAATATTGAAAATGTATAAGTGCTTGTTAAATAAGAAAACTCCATTTTTGGGACAACGAATGGGCATATGAATTAGTATGAAAATCTGCAGCACTCATTATCGGTTCCCACAAAACGCGAGGCGAGAAGTATCGTGATCGAGCGTGAGCCTCGCCCCCGGCGCACGATCCCCGCAACGAAATTACACGGGGATGAAAACAGAGGGATGGACGTAAGTGGATGCAGGACGAAATTGAGTCACTTAAAAAACGATACACCGCGTGTGCTTTATCGTGCTCGAGGCGACGCAGACCGAGGTCCCCGAAGGAGTCACGTGCTGTGCGTGCCTCGTCAGGGTTTTCCCAGATTTGTAACCCCCGGAATGGACCGTCGGTCTATCCACGAGGATCCAGCCACCCCCTTCCCGATCGGCACAGCTAAAAATAATAGACTGGAATTCCGGCGTGATTAGGCGAGCTGCCGAGTTTCTCATCTCTTTTCATTATTAAACAATTTGGTTTCGTACGAAAAAGAAACGCAAGTTTTTCATCCTAATTTATACAGCACTATTCGTTTAATACTATTTGTGAGTGACAACTGTAATTTAGGTAATTGCATCCCGTAGAGACCGTTCAAGTGTTAATACATAGATGTGCATTTTTAAAACGGCAAACAGCGATGATGGTGCCTTGTAAACTTGCGGTTCAAGAGGGACTAGGGTTCTTCCGGATCAGGAAAATTGGTTTTGTCCCGATTATGACGGTGCTTAGTGCGCCTCATGCAAATGTTATGACAACGACTTACGAAGTCACGAACTGACAATAAGATTTAAGATCGTTCGAAAATCTGGGAACCACGGATCGGTCGTGTATTACGAATAGAATTTTTCTGAGTTTCTGCGACGTCTCGGATCGACGTGCATCGAGCTTAAGCAAGTGCCTCAGAAGAACCGTTCGTAATTATCTCAATCGACGAAATGACAAAAACGATTATACAAGACGTTATAACGAATTTGATTTTCAACTTAGGAGGCTAGACTCCAGGATAAAATAAAATGTCAATATGTAATTGAAAAACACAGAGACTTTACGAACAATGAACATATTTTCTCCAAAAAAGTTGACAATCTTAAATGACACGGCGATGACAAAAATAAATATTGACAAGATGCAACTGATACGTAACAGCGATACGAAACGACGTAATGACGCTGTTTTCTGTCATATCTCTAACATTTCTGTCATATCTCTAACAAAGCAGACGATTATTCTCGCGAAATCGCAACCCCGTGAGTCATCATGGAACAGAATTCACAAAAACACCATAGGAAAACATCGTAACACAAAACACGAGTCATTGATAAACTATGGAACGGTCCCTGAAGAATAGGGAAGAAGGCCGTAAATCGTGAGTGAGTCAAAAGCGTATCAAAGGTCTCGGCCGATATCGCAACCTTCCGAGGGTAACGAACGTTTTTACGTATTCTTCGCCGGACTGGGTGATCAATTAGTCACCAGGATACGGACAGAAATCCTGCTGTTTTCCTACTAGCACTATCTTATTTGACACCGAAGTTCTACGTCTCGTTAGTCACTAAATTGGGAGAACTGTCTAGTAAACTCGAGGCGCTCGAACTTCTGTGATCGCCTATCGCTATTATCACACGTTTCATTATACGCAGCTTTACGAAAAGCGCATCGGACGATTATCGTCGAAGCTACCGCCTTTGTAACGTGATTCCACGTTCCACCCACGTCCGGCGGCCACGCAATCGAGAGCAGAACGGAGTGGGATCGATATTTTCGCGGGGGCAGCGGCCCGTGGGAGTACAGTACCGCGGATAATTGAAAACCGTTGGAAAATCGTGCGAGTCATCGGGCTGACGGAACGTAGGCGTAGGTGCCCCGGCGTGCACAAGGGGCTGATATTATTAAAATTGACTGGCAGTCGAGAAATCGCCGGCAATCCGCGGCGTTTGATCGGGCAACACCTGCACCCTCCCTCGCCCATCGATCGCTACGCTTCTTTCGCGTTACACCCTTCGTTAATTATACACGATTAACGGAAGCATAGCTCGAACCCGAGAATCGACTGTTCTGTGTCGTCTACGATTACTCATACATCGTTTTCGTTAAAGTAATAAGTATCGGAAAATGGATAGAAGAGTAAATAAAAAGATTTTCTATACATAATTAACGTGAAACTTTGTTGCTGATAGAATCCGCGTCGAGGGACACGTGGAACTGTTTTTAAGAGAAGGGACGCGCGATGAACGTGTCTATTTTTCACCAATTAAATGGAAATGTGTTTTCGAGCAGCCGGTGGAAGTAGCTGCGACGAGCCAGGGGGACAAACGGAACGATGAAAATCAAACGTTTTTCGGGTCGGTCCGATGGCCTTGCTAAAAACTGTTACCTTTCGCGGGGAACGTTTGCACGGAAACGATGAAACGGAAATTTAACGAAAGATCGGTAGCCGAGAGGGGCTGAGGGTGCGCATACAACCACCCCGCTCGGTCTTGTTTGTACAATCGATTCCGGAGCGTGCTGCTTTTATACTTTATACGTACGCGCGCACCGCGCGATGATAGAGGATCCTCTTCTTCCTCGCTGGAAAATATCGAGGAAAATCTTCCCTCGTTCGTTGCAACAAAAACTTTATTATATTTGTCGCGATTTTAATTACCCTCTCGTTGTCCCTGCCAATTCTCGCCCGTTAACAGAATAACAGTGAATGAAGCCTAGTCAACGCTAATTATTGTTCCAACTATACAGAGAAAATCGAATCGAAGAAATCGCACATTCTAGCTGGTCACTCTACAGAGAGTGACTGGACACTTCAGTTATGATTTCTGATTAGCCGCGAAACAGTGAATCTAAATCGGAAACAGGGATAAAAAAATATAAGTTCATGTTCATCTATTAATTTTGACATTTCGCGTTTTGAATACACAACTTCCGGTTTAGGTATATTTTTATGTAGATGTTATCCCTGGAGAATCAGTTGGAGCGAAACGAACATGAAAATTCATAATATACAAGTCGATCGATTAAAGACACGGCACGGGGAAATAAAAGCTCAACGATGCGAAACTAACGAAGATGAAACGTTAAATATGTTCGGTATTAGCGATCAAATATTTATAAAGAAACGTTTACTGGGACGTACGTACATACGTATGTATAGAGCACAGGCTTTGGATCGATGTTTGTACTGGTATAGACCTGTTTTCTTAACGTGTTAGGAACATCATCATACTCCTTCCGCTCGCTTCGCAATTTTGCTTTAATTAAACTACTTCGACGCTCGTTCGAATCAATTACTAAATGAATCGAATATGTCAGCTATCTTTGAATATGTTCAATTAATCGAACTAATTGAATTATACTATGACCTGTTTATTTCGGCAGGTTTTTAAAGACTGTACAATAGGAGTCACATTTTTCACAGTTCAGGCGAAAGTAATAAATCTCTGCACCATTTTCTTAGGTAAGTCATCCGAAAACAAAAAGGTATGAATACACATAAATTACAACCACTTACAATTGTACGTCACGTCAACAATTAAACAACTTGTACAAATATGATCATCCGTTCCATCGTCTTCGAGATTGAAAGGAAAATGGCGGTAATAAAACTACAAATCCAGGACCCTTCTTCGGGTCTGTCCTTTTGTAATCGTTTCTAGCTCTGGCTTGGACCGTGCACAACGGCACGTTGGCGACGTATTATCGATCAAGACTGTACTCCGGGATTATTTGCTTCCGTGGGAGTGCCCTTGAGTAAAATTAGCCTACGATACCTATGGTAAACGTCGAAAACAACGCCCGCTGATCTCGAACATATGGACGGATAATCGCTGCAATAAGAGATACGTACCGACGGTTCCGCATAATAAAACATCGGTACCTGGCGCGTCAGGTAGCGACGAGTCCGTCGACGCTGCACCCCGAACGGAAATAGAAAATCCCGTCGTAAAACTATAATCGATTTACGACAGTGATGCTTTAGCACCCCGCCGACCCTTTGAGGGAAACAAAAACAACGAGAGCTGCAGATTTTTCTTTCAAGTTCTGCCACAGGCGATGATGCAACGCGGAGGCTGGCAATAAAAAGAGGAAAACTGTTTTTACGATTGTGTGGCCAGGCACAGGATTGCTAACACGAAGACCACTCTCGCGGATGACACCGATACATGTGAGAACTGCACTACGGATTTTTATCCATTTATAAGGCAAACAAGTACACCCAAAGTAAACTGTGTACAATACAAGAACACATTGGATAATAAAATATTAAAACTATTATACGTGATACGTCGTTTAATCTGTAATGAGGAGGAATCGAGCATTCCGCGTGATACGTTTCTCGATTTCTGGCTAAACCAGAAACAATGTTTTGGTATCATCGACGGTATCCATATACGTAGGTATCGAGCCTTTTACCGTTTCAGGCCGTAGAACGCTGTGCCAGCGAAGACAAACAGCCCTACGCAAGAATAACATTTTTCGCGTTCCGCTAATCACAACACTTGGAGCGACTGTACACAGGCGACGATAGGAAAACATAGTCAGAATTCGATGGAAAAATTCTCCACCCTATCGGTGGTCCCGTGCGAAACCGAGTCTGCTTCTCCCAAAACTCGATTCGTTTCATTAAACGTATTTTATTTACGTATCTAATAATTCCCATTTCGTTGAAATGTCTTTTATTAAATTGGCTGCACATGTCGTTTACATACCGTGTATAGTTCGCTTTATTAAAGTTTCAAGAATATAGGTGTACATACATATTTGTTAAAATAATTGTTCGAAAATATGTATCGATACTAATTACATCTCTGCGTACCAATAGTCTAAGCCCTAAGCTAATTGCCTTACATATGCGAATTCGTTAATTCGTAACACGGAGAAGTTTAAGCTACCTTATGGGCTATTGTTAACTTAGCTTATTAATTCGGGGGCATTCGGTAAAAAGGACACTTTTCGTGCGAAGTTATTTCCGTTAGATTGTTTCCATAGAAAAGATGCTTGATGACAACCTGAGCGTTCGGCGTGATCTTAATGGCACTTGGAGATTTGACGATCGAACGATTACACAATTGTACAAAAAAAATCGTTCCTTATGCCTGGATTTATTTTATGATTATTTCATTCATTATGAGTGATTAAACATCATTTTATTCATTAAATATCCATGATTAATGATTAATATTGAAAGAATGTTCTCCTGGCTACAAAAGCAAACTTTTCAATGAAATAAAAATTTTTTCGGATAAATATCGATAACCCTATCGTAACTGCATACCCTAATCTCAGGCACAAAATTCATGTTGAGTCGTATTATGGTTACACAATGCCCGAACCATAAAGCCACTCTGTTCCTCGGTCATACAACATTTCTATAAAAAAACAAAAACGATGAAATTGGCCAGGTACATAAGACGGATTAACGAGAAAAGGAAAAGACGAATGGACCATCGCAGATCAGAGGCTGCGAATTAGTATTTTCTTTATCACGAGATTATCCCTGTACCCTTACAGAACTCTAAAGTATAGTGTACACTTCTACTGGAGTTTATGACACAATAAAATATGAGAGAGTTGAAACAGCTCCAATTAATTTTCAATGTTAATCGTATGTACAATGTTATTTAATTATTATTGAAAGAGCAACAACCCTGTTCAAGAAATACCGTAACAGAAATCTATGCTACGTGAATTTCGATATTCCCAATTTTCTTACGTTTCACGTAAGGACTGTAAAGATATACGAAAACGATCATTTTACGAATCATCACCTAATTGTTCGATAAGTTCGATAAGTTCGATCTAAGTTGAATTTCATATTATCGAATTTTTCTCTACATGTATATCAAACTATTCTCGAATACTCTTCAAACTTCCTGCAATACCATCTATTGCTACGTATTACCTTAATTCTTTTTTAAATAAAACAATGTCAAATACAAAATATGGGAAACATGAAGAGTAGTCCGGAGGAAAAATCGTGAAATACGAACGTCTTCCTAGAATTAAGTATCTCACCGTTTCGTTTCTAATCACATACATCCAGTTTTTCAAAACCACTTCAAATGTTTCGAGTTTTTCCAATAAAGAATTTCGAGCATCCTCTGTCTTAAAGATCGGTCACCGGTCCTGACATTTTGATACCGTTCGAGAACCATTCGGGAACCCTGCGCGGTAGGATCCCCTCGTCATCGTTGACGTTACCGCCATCCTCTTCCTCACCCTGACGTACATCCCCCTGGCGTTCTTCCGTTTGGTCCTCGTCATCGGACGAAGAAGCGTTCCTTGCGCGTTTCGGATTTATCGATCCCGGGGAAGCGGTTCCCTGGCCGGCGGCACCGATCGTCTTATCGCGCGGAACGTCCAGCAGCTTGTCCAGTCTGACAAACGACGAGTCAATTCGCGTTAAATGCGTTCTCTCGCGCTTATACGCTCGCTCGACCCAAGCAAACCTCTGCAACGCTCTCTTTAGAAGCGGCAAAAGCAACAGGAGAGACTGCTGAAAGCCATGCTGCCAGCTAGAAGAACAGAAAAGAATACACACGACCAAAACCCCGTCGCTAGCGGTGCTCCCAATGCCGTTCTCGCAGGATATTGTTTCTGACGCATTCTGGGAGATGCACGAGGATGTGGGATGCGTTTCATGCGACAAACTGCACTTTCGAATAACGTTCCTTTTCTTAGATTTTACAAATCGTTCTTTAAACCTCGGTTGCCGATTCCAAGAAAATCAAATTTTCAAAAATTCTATAGATATTCAAGAATACTTTTCTAAACTCTTTGTGTTAAACGCTACGACTCGAATTTATCAATGAACATACAAGAAATTGTCTAAATCGCTAGCTAAGAGACGCGCACGTAACCCCTTAACGTATTAGCGAGTTCCTTTCGACCGCAACAGATTTTTTCATCGTCAATGGCGTTAAACACGTTTGCCGGCGACAAACAGGCCGGCAACCGTTTGCACAACGAATTAATTTGTTGTTTGCCATTGTTGACGGCAATTCTACACCGACTGTTTGCCGTCGGAATTGTAGAAAAAAGAAAATATTAATTTTGCGTGTACGCGCGCGTCCATGCAAACACGGCAACATTAAATTAAATATAATACGTTCGATCGCTTATTAAATCGCCCGTGCAACCATTTCGGTGTGCAGCGAAACAGAGACCGAGAGAGTATATTATACGAGACTTTTTAAGGATGTATTGGCTATACAGTCAATCCCAATAGTTTATGTACTTTAGAAAAACGCATTTGCTATAATTGAAAAGAAATCAGACGTTGGAAGAACAATGCTAATANCCGTTCGGGAGTTATGGGCAAAAAACGAAAATTTCGCGAAATCTGAAGGGGTACCCCTTGGAAAAATTTCGAAAAAATGAAAAATTTTTTTTTGCTCAAATATCGAAAAATGCTTTACAGAAAAGTTGTAGGTGATACTATTACCTATTTTTTTAATAGTTATGGGAGACTATAATAACAAATTCAACATGCTAGCATTGTTTAAGTATATAGCCTATACATCCTTAACAAATCCAGCGGGTTGAAAAATATATCGCAGCCTTAGTATTACTAGTCAGTCGATTTTAATTCATTACATTTCATGGCAAAAAGCACATTAATTTAAAAAATGTCACTTATAATAATAAAGCGAAAAAGTAATTAAGCATAAAAATCATCACCTACAAAAGTGTAGGTGCTTCAACAAAAATAAAGGAAATGTAAAATTTGAAACGGTCCGTATTATTAAATGATTTACACGTTTTGATTAAAACAGCTTTTTAAATAATGTACATCGAACGTGGAATAAAAACGTATGGGAATCGGACAACAAGCTACAAAAGCTGGAAAGCCATGCCGATGCGGACGTAATTTACACTATTAAATAAATGCATGTACACACGTTTATCGTACGATTAATTACGATACATTGATTATAATAACGCGAAACCGAGAGAAGCCGAAAATCGTCAAAAATATCGTAAGCTCTCCACGAATCTGTTAATCGTGAATCGTTAATAACGGGAATACATCAGTTTCTCTCGATTCCTCTGTGAAGAACTGTACAAGTGTCTGAAACGAGTAGAAGAAGAGTTCTTCGATATGTACAGATAAATAGGCGATTTCAGAGATTCGTAAAAACCAGAAACTCTTCTCGTACTGTAGAAATTTTCGAACGATCTTAGAACCAGGACAGCTCACCAGAATGCGATGATAAAATAATAAAATCCCGAAGATCGTTCGATCGACGATGAGGAAAGATGGAAACGAAAAAATATAGTACAGAGAGAAGAGGAGTGGATCAACGATAGACCTACGTGCTATTCGACATTGTACATAGTAGTAGCCTCTAGCAAGCCCTTGAAGCCCCCCTTGCTCAACGACGGTCGGTGGTTCGCGTTTGGGGCCCCGCGCGTACATAGCCTAAATGTAGGCGGTGGTGTAGGTCGCGCGTGAAGGTGCTGTCAGGACTCTGGAGGTCAGGATTCCCGTCGAGCAGAGATCTTTCGGCACGAAGGAGCCACCACCGACCACGGCCACTTCAGGAATCTCGGTGATGGTGGCTCGTCTCGTTTCGTCGTCGACTTCGTCAACGACGCGACTCCGATCTTCGTCCTCGCTCACCGTTCTCCGGACGTCCGTCTCGTTGTTCCTCTCCGTAGCCACCAGCTCCTCGCTGAACGCTGACCTCTTCGTCTGCAAATTTCCCTTCTTCTTTCTCGGTTTCTTCAAACCGACCCTCGGGCGATTAACACGCGACAAAGGCTTCTTCTCCGTAACGGGATTCGTGTTCGTTTCCACGTCCCCGGTTTCTCCGTCTCTCTTAATATCTCCGATATTAGTTTCCTCGCGTCGATCGAGACCTTCCGTTTCAGCTTCGGGGCCATTGATGGTAGAATCTTCTCGCCAGTCGGCGTCTCGAAAATCGAGGCTGTCGGTGGTTCTCTGTTCTTTGTCGAAGCCGCTGCGATCAGCGTTTTGACGAGCAGCCTCGTCCGTGGCTAAGTGGTGAGCTAGCTCCGCGTTCAGGGAATGTAACGAAGAGGAGAAACGTCGCTGGGACGATGAGGAGGACGCGGGGATCAGGCTCTGGGTATCGGAAAGAGCGGTACGCACGGGGGTGCTGGTTACGTAGGGTTGCGTAGCATCGAAATTAGCGACAGGCGTGACTGATCTTGCGTTTACGCACTTTCCGGCGTGGCCCTCGGCGAGGCACTTGGACGCCCGGGCCTCCTGCAGCTCCCGTCGCAGCGCCAACGTCTCTTCCTCGAACGCGGCGATCTCGCGGCCTTCGTTGCTACTTGCCAATCAACACACAAGTTCCACCAGTTTATTATATACAGCGTCGATGTTCGAACGATGCATTCCCGATTATTGTTTTTTTTTCTATCGTTTAAACGATTACAAGTGGATGAACGTCGGCATGCTGGTCCGTAGCGTGTAAAGTGTAGAAAGGATTTCGAGAGGGAGGCGAAGTATGAAGTGATTAATTGCCCAGTTGCGTCGAATCGGCGTTAAAAGATTTCGCAAGGCATTTGCTAAATTTCATCCCAATTGGTTTTACTAATTTATAATGCAGTTTTTTAAATCCATCGATAAATGGTATTAAAATAATAAATCCAATATCGTTCAAACCGAAAGCGAAATCGATTTTCTATCTAGGATCGTTAAAAGCAAGGATGAATCGTACGAAATGTAGAAGAACGAGAAACGAAGGAAAGAAGAACAGAAGAGTAGAGCAACGATGAAGAGAATATTATAATTATAATGCGTCTAATTAATGATACGATCAATTTCTTCGTGGAAGGAAGAGAATTCGTAAAACACTTCAGTACTTGGAACAACGAGTTGACGCTCGTGTCTAGAATAGGATTTGTTCTAATTGCCAAGGATTTATGGTTTTCGAGATGTCTATAAAAATATATTCCAATACGTTGCACTTTGCCTATACGAATTTGTCTGATCTGAACCTCAGAGATATTTCGATGGCCTGACTTAAAAGGACCACCGTGTATATTCTATCAACTGTTCGATTTATACAGCCAAGCGTCCACTACTTTTATCAGCTACTTAATTCCATTGATAAAAATTACTTCATACTAGTAAATTGTTCAACCCATGTATTAAGAAATAAATCAATATATGCTCCTATTTCTTCCTCCAGAAGATTCTTAAACTTTTCATGATACAAAACGTATTGTTATATGTACAATTTTGGCTATGAGTCGCTGTACATCAGTTTGCCTTCGTTCACACTTATTGTTAGATAGTGACTGCAACGACTTGGCGTCGTCGAATACGAAATGAAGTTAAATCGCGTCTGTGCTCGTAAATGTACGTATAGGCAAAACGCAACGGTGACGGTATCTCGCATACTTATCGCACGTGAAGCCAACCACACATCGTGAAACACGAATTGCACACGACGAATCGTATCAACGATATCGTACAGAATTTTACGTTATATACAGAATCGTGTAAACTGTATTCGTGCCTACTACGCGAGAAACCATGTGTAAACGTGGGAGATGTGTATATTACACGACGTGAAACGATGTAAGTGTATGAAGCGTAAATCGTAGGTAAGAAATGTTTAAACAGCCATGCAAAAGTTGTAAAACGAAATGAAATGAGTACTCACTTGGCGTTGAGCTTCAGCGTGGCCAATTCTTCTTCCAACTTGCCGATCCGCCTGTCGCTCTCCTCCTTCTCCCCCAGCAACTTCGTAATTTTATTCTGGAAAATAAATGAACAAACGAATGTAATTGAATTTGATAATTAAGAACGATGATTATCAACACGTTTCCTACGAGGTCTCCTCCTCTCGTGGAGAGAAAACGAGGATAAAGATAAAAGATAACGGAGACGGTTATAATGCCTCGCTCAGATAAGATGGCTCGGCTCGTTTCAAAAGGAATCAAACAATTTACATAGTAACTCGTTTTCGCGCGATAACGTTTTACTGACTCGCGCACCGCTCTATGCTCGCACGGTTCTCCGAGTGCGCAGTTAAGGAGAGAGAAAAAATACGTTCACAAACAGATCGTGAATTTTCTCCATTCGCTAAAAGTTCAGATGTTCTGAGAATCCTCTGTGGCGTACAAAAATCTTGAATTGAAAAACCGGAGTCTACCCCTTGTATAAAATGAAAAAATACTCGATTAACTACTACACTGATAAGTTTCTGTCGTTCGACCAAGCTCGAGGTTTCGATCGAGAATTCAATTTTCTCGTATGTGTACTAATAAGTATCGGAACGGCGAGACGCGCGAAGGACACGAGTGGCTCGTCGGTACGGGCGACGGAACGGGCACTCGGACCTCGCGTTTCGAGCGCGTTAAAAACGCGAGACGACGATGGCAGTCAGAAATTTACATGCTCGAAAGTGGAAGCGGGTCCCGTAGGTTCAATTACGGAGATTGGCGGAGAGGAGAGAGCGGCGATACGATGGCGCGGGCGGCCATCGCATCGGCTGATGAAGCTAATGGATGGTTGAAATTCGAGAAGGCTGAAGAGGAAAGAGGGAAAGGAAGGAGGAGGCCAAGGGAGAGGCCGTGACAGCCGCTAAGTGCCTCGTTCCTCGCCCTTCCTCGTCCCTCCGCTCAGTTCGCCCCAAGACACGAAGCCTCGGCGCAGAGCAAGCTGGCAACCGTTCCCTTTCTTTCTTCCTCGCACACTTTCCTCGATGCTCTCACCCCCTGCACGCTGGCACCCTCGTGTGAAACCTAATCATTTTTACCAAGCGTCACGGATATTTCGTATTACGTCTACATTAGGTTCTCCGGTATCGGTCCGGTTTTATCGAGGGCTTTGAACTGACTCCGAGCGGGGAGATCAATTAGAATTAGGGAACGAAGTCCATTTTCGGGTTTATCGTAACAGAATAGGAACAGCAACTCTGATATTGACGAATTATTCATTTGTTTTTCTTAGCAAACTAGGTCGAGTCGAATTAAACGTGTATCTGTGAGAGATTTCTTTATCTGACTATTAATCGAGAGATTCTGATACGAATTGAATTAAGCAAACGAGTCTTACGACTAATAAATATTTGTTCAACCCCTCCGAGAAATTCCTCGAGAACAAAGCAAAGGAAATTGTCAACACACACAATTTTCCCAAATTACTTCTTTATGAAACACGAATACATCTAAATATGTTCGAGCCGGTAGGTTTTATTTAAAGAGCAGAATGTATAAAAACTCGTATAAATGACGGAACGAGGAAAGCGAGTACGGAAGCGTGCGCAGGCGAAGTTTATCGATGGAAATTCGCGTGCAGACGATAATCGAGGGTGGGAAATTGTAAGGATAGGAAGAAAAAAGTAGGGAGAGCGAGGCGAGGAGAAAGCGAAGATCACCTGGCTGTCCTAATCAAACAGAACGTACGAATGCTACGCAAACAGTGTATGCCCATGACCACGTCGCGTCGTGGAAATGCCGAAAGCGTCGCGCCGTTCGGAACGGTCTATCTAAGGTCGAGGAAGAACAGTACGAGAGGGCATCTCTCTCTGACCGCTTTGTTTTCCATTCCCACGTTTCCTATTCGCTAAGCTTTTATTCCGTCTTTCCTACTCACTTTTTACGAAACGATTTACGAGCCAAAAGTTCCGGGACTCGTGTATATCGCGATACGTCGCGGAAGATCGCATCGCTTCGGAAATTTTTATGTAAAGAATCTCTTACGATAAAAGTTTCATGACACGCGACTATTATAATGAGACAATATTTTGAACGGTAGCGTGATTCACCGATAGAACTTTCAAAATAGGTTTAAGTAAAAGTAAATACGTACATGTAAGTCGCTTATTTCTAACGACTTCTGACTCAGTTGTTCCTCTATCATGGATTTCACTTTTGACACGAGCCCTTCCTCGCACGTCTTATTGGCTTGCCTGATCTCACGAATGAAATCTGGAAACATACAAACATTTCCAATTAGATACTTGTAATTGAAATTTGTCGGTAGAATAGAAGTCGAAACGATCATTATGTTGCTTACCTGACAACATTCCCGGTTGGTAATCCGAAGAACTGCCGTATTTACACTGTGACAGTTTCGTTTTCATACTGCCCAGTTCAGACTTCGTCTCATTTAATTCTTTGAACAACTGGCTATTACTCTTTTTCAGTTCTGTCATCTGTAACAGTAAGACCAACGATTAAGGTTGTGACAGAATAGTAAGGAGTGACAGAATTTTGTAATTTTTTTATAACTCCTAAGATATGACATTATTTAAGATTTTTATACTGAAGCAATCTTAATCACAAGGTATTCAACGCACCTGTTCGATGAGAGACAAGACTAGCTTGTTGCTACGTCCAATCGTGGTAATAGAGCTGCCAGAATCAGCGCTATCAGAATCTTCGCTCTGAGCATGAACCGGAGGATCCACCGGCCCAAGGCCAGGATCAGAATACCGCCTATGTTCACAATTCAGCTCGTCCCCATTTATCCCATCGTTTTTATTAGCAGTCGGAGGCAAACTAGCGTAATCGCCGTTCTGATAGTTAATAGGCACAGGAGATTCCATTCCATTCTCTTGTAAACTAGTATATCCATTCCCCATCGAGTTCGTACCCAGGTTCATGGGGTGATTTTGATTACAATGTCGCCTGGGTCTATTATGAACCGTCCTTATACCGGAAAATGGCATCGGTTGATATAATCTGTACATAGTTGGCAGTGAAACAGGTTCCATGGTATACGTAACAGGCATTTGACCATAGCCACACATGCTGGGGTCGGAAGAAGTAGCGAAAAGACGCTGCCTGTTGTTAGCAAAACTCTGTTGAACATTCGACTGCCACAAAAGATGTTGATACTCCATTCCAGGCACGGTGTCGTTATTTTGATTATTTTGCATACTATTCATCCAAGGTCCGAGCATACTGCTCCTCTTGCTGGAACGTTTTTTGCTCTTCTTAGAATGATTAGGAACATCTTCGTGATAACCTGTCCTCGATGTGTCATGCGTACTAGAAGATTATCAATGATCAAGTGAAACATCGTGAGTGAATTAAACGAGTTATGCAGAAATTCGCAGCTTACCTTTTGTCCATTTTTCTGAACGATCTGAACCGTGACTGAGGTTAGTCGTGGTCGTGGAATAACATCCGCCAAGTACGTGACATGGAGACCTGAAGAGGTATCGGGTCGTGGTGCGTGCGCTCGGTTACTGGCGTCTCACAATTCCACAAACTCGACGGATCGCGTTACAACACGAGCGTAGTAGTGGCGGTACATCAATACGGACGGTAGAACGTAAAACAACCCGAGGAGCGTACGAGCCGCGCTTGATTCATTCAGAATCTGTCCTCAGTCGTTATCATTATCGACTCACGGCCGATTGGTCGGGTAAATCCCTACTATTTCCGAGCTGCGACGACACATGTCTCCCCGGTGTAGTTGCCCGGTCCGTCGGTTGTTGTGCACGGATTTCTGCGTCCTCAGTCTGACATTTCTGGCCGACTCTGGCCTACTCTGGAGCGGCATTGGCGTTTGTTACGGGAAATCTCGGACGTCACGTCACCACGACCACCATAGTGGTCAATGGTGAGCACGGTGAGCACGTGGTGCTCTGATCACATGTTCCGAGACAGATTTGAATTACTACTTCCTCGTTTCCTTTGTCTGGAAACAAATTATATTTTCTTCTAAGCAATGGATATCGACAGTGAGTATCACGTGTTGTTTCATATTTATTTACTAAGAATCCTCTGCCCTTATCTCACATCGAAAATCACGAAGAACGGTGTCCATGTTTCAGTGTTTTTTTTTTAATTAACACGCCACATAAACGTGAATTTAATTCCAGGATTAATTAAGAGGAAGAAGCGCGTACAGCGCGATGGGAGTCTTAAACAATTGGCTGAGATCGTGAAGGAACTCGGGGATGCGTATTACGAGATAGGCAAATACGAAGACGCTTTACAGGAATATAAAGAACAACTGGAAACTTGTGACGCTTTGGGGGATAAATTAAACGCTGCTGTGTCTCACAGAATGATCGGAGAGACGCATGTAAATCTCGGCAACTACGAGGATGCATTGGACCATCAAAATCTTTATTTGGGTTGGTTTAATAAATTTCTCGGAATCACGTAATTGCACTAAAACGATTTTACGTTTAACAGAAGGGGCCAAAGAGACAGAAAATTTGTTAGAAGAACAAAGAGCTTACGCGACCTTGGGTAGAACATATTTTTGCTGGGCAGAAAGTCTATCGGAGGATTCTGAGAAGAGGCCAGATGCTCTCAGAAGCGCGAAGAAAGCTTATATGAAGAGCATACGTCTTTGCAACGAGTATTACACTTTCTTCCGACGTTTCAATATCAAAAGTAATCTGTTAATAGATTGATTGCGATTGTTCAGGCTCGAGAACACTGACATCGGATTGAAGGAATTAACTACGATGAGAGCAAGATTGCTGTTGAACTTGGGACTGGTTTTGGAAGCTCAGCAGGATCACAAGGAAGCGGTAGGCTTGATGGAGAAAGCCGCGACGATGTGCGAATCGCATAATCTACGAGAAGATTTTCATCGTACGCAAATCGCGCTTGGCGGGATTTACGATCGGAACCGCGATTACGATTTGGCATTGAAACATTTTGAAATCGCTGCCGAAATCGATAACTTGAACTTGAAGGCGGAAGCACGAATTTTTCAAGCGGAATTGTTATTAAAGATAGAACGATGGCATGAATCACGGAAAATGCTAGTGTCGCTTTACGTCACTGACAATTTGCCGGTAAACTTGAAACAACAAGTGGAAAAACTTCTTAGAATAGGTAAGGTTCTTCGGCTTCTAATTCTTTTATGATTTAAAAAATAAATTCGAAGTATTGCAGTTGCAACGTTACACGCGACCGAGGAGGCTTTGAGTGAGGAAGAGAGTACCGATGGTAGACTGAAATTGTACGAAACGTTGGGAGACGCAGCGGTGGCAGCGCGCTGCTTCGAAAAGGCTATTGAATATTATAAAAAGATGTTGGCTTGTGCGGAGGAAATAAAAAGCGATCGCACGGGCGCGGCTCTGTTAAGTTTGGCACAAACGCTGAAAGACGTTGGACGATACCACGAGGCGTTAGACTTCGCCGGGAGAGAATTGAAACTGTGCGTAGACCCACGCGAGATATGCAGATCAGCTTTGTATTTGGCAGATCTGATGATAATTACTGAAGCTACCGAGGAGAATATTCAACACACGTATGCTCTGGCATACACGAACGCAGAAGCTTGTAACGATGTTACCTTGCAAATAAGCGTCTTAAAAGAACGTCTAGATTATTTGAACAAACTTGGTAGAACGGAAGAGGTGAAAATTCTCAATGAGAAATTAGCTGCGTTGCTAGAGTTGTGTAGCAATGTCGATAGTGAAAGCGAGCGCGAGGAGAACGATGACATCGGTGCAGACATTCGTTTAGAAGAGTTGTCAGACGTGGAAGAACAATTGATAGCGAAGGAAAACGTTAGGAGTAGAAAACGGACGAGGAAAAAGCCAGTGGCTGTGAAACGGAACGAGAAGGGTGAAACTCAGCTTCACGTGGCTTGCATCAACGGGAATATAGAGGCCGCGGAGAAATTATTAGAATCTGGCCACGCGACGAACGTGAGAGATCATTTTGGCTGGACTCCTCTTCACGAAGCCGCGAATCACAATCATATCGAGATCGCGAAGTTACTTCTAAAGCATGGAGCAGATATAGATGATTCTGGAAGTCTGATGTGCCAGGGAGTTACTCCCCTTCACGACGCTGCTTCCTGCGGTAATTTAGCCATGATGAAGCTCCTCATCGAGCACGGTGCGAACGTTCAACTTAAAACGAACGAAGACGAGACCGTGCTAGATTGTTTAGAGCAATGGAGAGATCGCGTTGATTCTCTGTCTTCAGAAGATCAAGCAGATTACGACGAAATGTTTAGTCTCTTGTGTGCTATGATCCCGAAGAGCATTCGGAAGAACTCGAAACGGTATTCTCAGGAATCACCGAGTACCTCGAAGACTCATGTAGTAGAGGAGAATGTGGTCGCAGGGAAGATATCTCCAGGGGAGGATTATAAAAGAACTATTGCTAACTTAAAACACAGAAGCGATCCGATTGGAATGTCTGTATCTGCTAAACGGAATGCAAATCCGCTTTTAGATAGCCAGGATGTTCTTGTGGACGACTGGCTGGAGGATGATATGAGCGGAGCCGTGAACGATAGGAGATGTTCCGATGAACATACAACTTCGATCTCGAAACGCAAGTCTAGTAGTAGTTTAGATATCGAGAAAATGTCAAAGCGTCAGAAGTACAACGATCAGGATTCTGTACTGATAGACAACGAACCGGATACAGTAGAAGAAACTAGTAACGACAGTTGTAACAGCGAAATAATACAAGTATCGAACGAAAGAAGAGTTGCAAAGAGGAAACAGCAATCGTCCTTGCTATCGATTGGATTTACTAAGAATCCTGTGTCTCGAACTCCTTCGCCCATAACTCCGTCTCCTACAGAATTTGAAGCGAAAGAAAGCAGTAGTATGAAATCGATCATTTTAAATGTTTCCGTGGATGGAAAAGTGTTCAAGACGCAAGTGGAATGCTCGAGCACGGTGATGCCTTCGGTACAAGATATTATAAATGATATCCAAACAAAGTTTTACTACGATACTGGATGTCGAGCTAAATTAGAATTAAAAACGATGGACAATATCGCGATCAACCCTAATAATTTGTTTACGATATTAAACGAAGGGGATATCGTTAAGAAGTTAACGTGTGACATGATTGAATTAGAAACTTGTTCCCTGTGCGATCGATATGGAACGATTTGTAAAAATTATAATATAGGTAAGTTCTGTCTTACATGAAGTGGGGGTATAAAAAGTTCAGGCTGTTACGTTACCTTGAATGTTTTCAGACGTCCGGGAATGCGTGTCCAAGTGCCTGAAATCGTGTGAGAACACATCTATCTTACGACTAAAGCAGGAGACTATTAGAAGAGAGGAATTTACATGTTTACTGAAGGCTTTGGAGTATCAGAAGAACATTCAGATATTAGATTTGTCTGGTGGTGAACTGAACGAAACCGGAGAGGTGTTGAACAATTGTATTCTACGTTTACCGGGATTGCAGGAGTTGTGCCTTCGAGAGTGTGACATTGATTCCAAGTGCTTGAGCAAATTAAAAAAGTTGCCACTTCAGTTGAAACTCTTAGACCTGAGTTACAATCCATTGGGATTTGCGAGTCAAGAAATACTGTCTAAACTTCTTAACCCCTTGACTCAACTTCGCACGCTAAATTTACGATACTGTCAGTTACGCGATTTTGAGTTCTTCTCGAATACGAATAATCTAGTGCACTTGGACGTTTCTTGGAACAATTTCAACGAAGACAAACCTTTCCCGAGTTTACAGAGACAATTGCTTCACTTAAATTTATCAAACACCATCCCCAACCGCGAATGTAGCATAGCCAAAAGTATTCTTAACAAAACGGATTTTTCACCTGTTAACTTGGAATGCCTCGAGCTCTCCTCTTGTAGGTTATTAGACACCGATGTCGAGCACATATTATCACAATTAACAAATCTCTCGAAACTAGTACTTAGAGGTAATAAAAATGTCGGGACGAAGTCTTTGAACCTCTTGCTGGGGTACACGCCGACACTTCGATATATCGATATCGGCGGATGCGACGATATAGCCGATCTGCCGAATTCCGATACATATATCGATAATCCCGAGACCTGTACGTTAGTCGCGAGTGTTCTTCCCGAAGTGTGTGATTGTTGGGTCCGGCTGTGGCGGAAAAAAGGTACTGTAAAAAGATTATCGCATAATTTAACTATTTTTAAGCCTATTCTAAGCTTTGACAGTTAACAATAACAACTAACAATCGAACGTACATAGAGGTTCATACACTGTCGACGAACCGTGCTTCAACGGTACCTTGTGATTTTGGCGGGCTCGTTGTTTATTAGTCTAATGTAAATAATATCATTTTTATTCGAATCGGATAATGAACAAACTTCCGTAACGCCCATCAGGCAGTGTATAATAATTGTTTTCACTTAAGCTCTCGTCTTAACAATTACATTACGAACGAAGCAAATATAAAAAATGATGTAACAGAAACAGTTCATTGATGTGACATATATATATGTAAATATATATACAGTAATTACAGCAACGGTTTACATAAATTAGATGGCTTTACGCGCTAGTTTCGTCAACTAGATTGTCTATAAGGCTACATTAAAAATCATAGAAACGTTGTCCAAATTTGAAACTTCGTCGACGTCTTACACGCGAAACTTCTGCTCAGCGGAATAAAAACATGTCATTACGATAGCGAGAAAAACCTGCAATATAACAATAATACTTCAATAATACTGTACAATAGTTTCCCAGTTAGGTCTCTAATTTTTCTAGCTACGTTCAAAGCCTCCCTATTATAGAAATTCGAACAGAATCCGATAATAATAATAATAATAAAGAAGTTAGCGATAAACAATGAGATAGTGTCATGTTTAAGTACGTAATACAGTTAATAATTTATTCTTTCGTTCTTAGTACGAAAAAAAATAAAAAAGAAAGATCGACCGTTGCCTTTTTTCAAACAGTTGTGTAAATTTTTAGACTAGAACTTACACGCGTTCTATTTCTAACTATTTCTAGATAGCGTAAAAGTAAAATTTGGTCATATATACTTTGTGCGTGTCAATGCGCTTCCTCCTTTCGTAGGATCCATCATACGATCCCAGTTAGTATGGCCAACTACGAATCCGACAGCGCGCATCTTCTCCTGTTCTTTACGCTCTTCCAAGTCAGCCCATCTTACCTATTACATAAGATAGTTTGGATATATTAAACGAGTTCGATAGGATTTAACGTCGTTTGATGCAGTATACTTACGCGCTTTTTACCAGAAGTATCTTCCATGTTGTAGTAATCAGGAACTTGAAGGAAATCTTTCATGGTCTGCACCTTCCCTTCATTCTTCTTTCTCGCGAGTCCGTCTAAGCGATCTGTTTGATATTCGTATGGTTAACGAGAACAGATGATCGTATTTTAAAAAACGAAATAGCTCACCTAACTTATCTTCGGCCTCCATACGTTCCCATTTACTTACTCCCTAAAAGTCAATCAAATTTATTTAAACATCGTGAACAGATGTATGTATATTAATCAAGTCTATGAAGAATTGAGAATAGATAAAATTACCGTAAGTAGGGCATCGTCCTGACTGTCTTGACTATCTTCGTTCTGCGGAACAGGTTTCTCCTGTACTTCTTCAGTATCTTCCATTTGAACCTAAATCAATTGAACGTTAACATTTAATTGCAGAAAGAAATATAGAATTCAGTTGAAAATACACACTTCTTCAATCGCCTGTTCTTGAAGTAACGCATTCACATCTAATTTTTGGTGATAACTCGGCGTCGGTTCGAAGTAATCGATAATCCTGTTTATTTCGTCCTCCGTGCGATTGTGAATGTTCCTCTTCAAACAGATTTGCAAATCCATTTCCATCTCGCACACGTATACCTACCAAATTTTTAATTAGTAAACGATGCACATCGAATTATTTAGGAAACTCACCTTGAAGCCTTTCGTTTTAGCGAAGCTCCACATTTCTTCGTAATCCGATATTTTCTCGTTAATGCAGTCGAGTATTATAAAATTGAAAAAGCCATCGGTGATATTCTTTTTAAAAGCTTTCACAAGGGACGTGACATAACTTTGCTCCATCGCTTCCTCATATTCGTAGACCATCTCCTGTAAACGATGTTAAATTTAGAAATTATGATTAAATTGAAAAATTGAGTTATTAAGCGAGTACCTTGACAGTAACTTTCTTTCCGTTATCGTCCGTAGTCTCGATCTCTTTCTCCGCTAGGAAATAATCATCGAGGCTTAGTATCCTCGGCGCAGAACCACCTTGTTCAACTTCTTTGTCCTAGTACAGCACGATCATTTGCAATTTGAATAATTTTCATTGAAATATATCATTAATGACATCAAATACCTTGATGAGCTTCGCGACAAAAGATTTCCCACTGCCTGGTGGGCCCCGCAATATAATAGCTACTTTTGGTGGTCTGTTCTGGCGACCTGGTGGACATAACAAATCGTCCACCATCGTGCAGTTTGGTGTCTTCGCCAGTTCCAAAGTTTTCTGTGTAGATTCCAATACATTGTGCTGGTTATCTGCAACACTGTAACAAATAACGTCGATTTACTAAACGATCGAATGGACGAGAATCATAATGATCTTCTCGTGAAGTTTTTGATATAGAAGAGGTAAAATAAACTGTCGTATGTAATTAAATTTTAACGCGTCATCCTTTTTTGCACGAGGTATTGCGATATCAAAGAATCGATTAAATGCGAGAAGAGAGAAACGCTTTTCGAAAGCTGTTTCAAAGAATAGCTAACACCCTGAAAATAGCAAGTAGTGATTTTGCGTATTATTTTTGTCAAAGCGAAGTAATCGAACCACGAGAAACACGTTTCCTCGTAATACGAACGCATTTAAGTAAAGTACGTCGGTATTACATTGCTCGCGTGTCTCGCGTGTTCAATTGCCATTATATTTATTTTTGCTCTCAACTGTCAATACGTAAGTTTTCGTATTTTTAAAACAGTAAAATCAGAAACAATTTTGTCTTATATACATCAGGCAGAAAAATTTTAAATGCATCGACATTAGTTCGATTAATGTACGAATAATGTTTGGTCACATATTATGTCAATTTGCATCGTGGTCGTGCATAAGGAAAACCAACGGTTTTCAAAACGGTGTCAAAGATGATGACACGATGCATATGGTAACATCTTTCTTAACTGCCTCTTAGCAGTTTAAAACGAGAGAGAAAGAATACGAATGAATGCGTAAACATACGTCAGAAACACAAAAATCGTAAAAGCGTTTATTTGACAATAATATTTCAAAGACCGAAGAGTATTTAAGGCGCATCTAATATTCGATAGAACATACCTGCTCTCTGTCGGCTTTGTATCTACGACGTTCTTGTTCAAATTCTCCTGCCAGTTTATATTTCCTTTCGATCTAAAGAAAATTGCACGTATTCAACCGAAAATTATGCACATTAATATACAAGGATCAGCGATAGGGACAATTTGTCAATGAATACGAATTTTTAGTACTGTACCTGTCTTCGTCTCTTTCATTCTCTTTACTCGTTTCCTTGTGAGAAGTTTCACATCTCTCCCGCGTTCTTTCTGCATTTAGAACAAACACTAAATCTAAGAATTATTCTCACAAATCCCAACAACTTTTGTATTACAATAATTAGATCGATATTTCTACGATACAAGAAAGCTGTGTAGCATAACGTCCAATTACCTTTGTTAGAATTCTTCTCATAGCGATTCTCTTGATCTTTGTCAAACGAATTATCAAATATCCTGTTGTTTCGTTTCTCCTTCACTTTGTAATCCTCCTTTTCTCTTCGTCCTCTCTCGGGTCTCCTCTCCTCTGTCAGGTCGTTCGTATTTCTTCTCTGTCTATAATCCGGCCGTCTGTGCTCTACTTTGCTCGCGTAATATTCATACTTCCTTATCCTCTCCGTGTACTCTTTTAAGTTCTGTTCGTTCTCCTCCCAATTTCGGAAATCTTTCTTCGGTTGAACCTCGTGCTCCGGCACCGACGGCTTCAAATTGCCGTGTCCGTAATCGAAGCACTGCACGGGAGTCAAATGATCTTGAATCGATGGCCGGGATGTATGCGCGTAGTCGATCACTTTAGCTGGCACGTGCTCGATCAATTTCTTATCACCGACAGCTCCGCCGTGATTATAATTGAACTGTCTCTCGATGCAAAATTCTTTCACGGTCGAACACCTGACTTGAGTCTGTCGACCGTCTACGGATCGTATCATGTCGAATTTCTCCGATGATAATTCCATCGCACCTTTCTCCGACTCTTTCTCGTGTACGTTAATTTTATTATCACTAATAGCAGATCGTTCCATGGGCTTCATAACACACCTATTGAACGAATCGTTTTGAGAGAACATAAGTCTGTCGGAACGACTGAAGTCACGTGAAGGTCTCTGGTCTTCTCCGAAATTGTTCGTAGAATAAGGTTTCCCCCCGAGATTTTTATTATTAGGATCTACTGATATTTGATTCTTATTATTAAATCCTCCTCCGACGCTCCCCGATTCTTGTATTTTAACATCAGGATTGATTGGTCCTTCCTTTCCTCTGATGTCGAACGATCTGTCAGTAGAACCATGAGATGGGAAAGGACCATCGTTTGGAGCAGTCATCGCACCTCGTGGTCCAAAGTACGTCTCATTCGGACCATGCGAACCGAAATTAGTATTCTCGTTGAATCTATTCGGAAACTGTCCATCGTTCATTCCTTTTGAACTTGGATTTTTCTGATAAGATGGATCTGAACGTCGCGTACCAAAGAGCTTGTCGCTGGGAGCTAAAAATCTAGACTGTCCTTCGTTAGATCCCCTAGGCACGAATTGCGGATCGAACTGTCCTCGTTTATCGAACGTCGGGTCATTCGATCTGCCAACGCTGACTGGTCTGTTGTTAGCGTTTGGAGGTCCAAACTGTCCATCGTTAGATCCTTTAGGACCAAACTGTCCGTCGACTGGTCTTCGGAATCCCAACAGACCGTCAGGTCTGGGAGCAAAATTTCCGACGTTTGGACCTCTGAGGCTGAACTGAGTGTTAGGACCTCTTGGCCCGAATTGGTTATCACCGGGACCTCTCAGTCCAAACGATCCGTCGTTAGGTGCTCTAGGATTAAACATTCCATCGTTTATACTTCTCGGGGCGAATTGTCCATCGTTCGGACCGCGTGGACCGAACTGTCCGTCGTTCGGTCCTCTCGGTCTGAAATCGGCAGGGCCTGTCGGACCGAAAGATCCATCACCCGCGCCTCTAGGACGAAATTGTCCGTCAGGGAAATCGCGAGGAGCGAACTGCATATTATTCGGACCCCTCGGACTAAACTGGCTGTTCGGTCCACGAGGGTCAAACTGATATGAATTTGGTACGGGAGGATTGAACGGGGTTAGATTTTTAGGATCGAACATGGGAAATCTAACGTCGCTAGGAGCTCTAGGGCCGGGAAACGGTGCGTTCGGTCTGAACTGCATTTCTCTTGGACCCAACATAGGGCTAAAATTGACTCTAGGTGCGAAACATTCGGGATTGTTCGGGAAAGGTTTCAAGGAAGACTCCTTCATATCGAATGGTTCGTTCGTTCTTTGCGGTTCACTGGCATCAATGACAGGGCCTAAGTTGGGTAATTCGGGTGGAGGTTCCATGTTTAAGTCTTCAGGTTTCGGATCGTTCTCGCCCATAAAAGGCAGCACGTCAGTCTTGTTAACATTATCGATGCTATTTAACTGTTCTTGCTGCGATTCTTTCGTTTCTCCTGTACCAGCTGTATTTGGATTTTCCGAAGAACCGTAATTTTCACTTTTAGCAGTGTCCGTTTGTCGCGAACCGTCTTCGGGAAGTTGGCCATCGGTCCAAGGCGGCTTTTGTGACAATGGAACGTTCTTGTCTTCCTTTACACTGTCAACGTTCTGTTCGAGCAAACTGGATCTAGTCACCGGCGTTTGTTCCACTACACGTTTCATTTCCATATTCGGATCATTCTCGCGATTCAACATTTCGTGTTTAGCGTCAACGTTCATGAATTGTTGTTGCGGATCGGTGTTGGGTCCTCTGAACTGACCTATGTCATCGTTGAACGGAATATTACGTGCGATCTCCATCGCACTGCGCGATCCAAACTCCGAATTTCCTTGAGACATCCTGAAGTTACCACCGGGTCCTCCTGGTCCAACGTTGGGAGATCCGCGAGGTCCGAAGTTGTTGCCCGGTTTCGCAAACGGAGAATCACCTGTAATTTTCTTGAAGCTTTCACTCAACGAACCAACACTACTGTTCTTATCGCATTCGACGAAACTCGGTTTGAACACATCCATCGCAGCTCTTCGTTTCTCCATAAGTTTCTTCAATTCGGGCGCGAGTTCTGACGGTTCAAACTGATTGTTTCGACTGAAATTCCTCAACGTATTCGGAAAACTGTCACGCCTATCTCCGATATCTTTCGGATCAAAACGATCCATGCTGCTCCTGTTAAATCTATCACTTCCGGGCCCGCAAGCTTCGTTGTTCGGACCGAATCGATCGCTGTTCGGCCCGAAACGATCGTTGAGAGGCTCGTTCCTATCGGTGCCGAATCGGTCATTCCCACAGGCGAATCTATTATCTCCGAGCCGATCGTTTCCCATTCCGAATCGATCGTTCCCAGGACCGAATCTTTCGTTCGACGGGCCGCATCGATTATTCCCAGGACCGAATCTGTCGTTCCCGAATCTATCGTTGAAATTCATCTTCTGCTGGTTAAACTGATTGTTTCCATGTTCCTGGAAGTTCCTATTCTCCCTTCTAAAGTGATCCACTTCAGATCCTCGATGATCGTCTCGTGCGAAACGTTCGGCTGACATCCCTTCCTTCTGTCCAAAATTACCAGCCGGATCAAAGCTGTTCATAGAACTCTGATTCGAGCCTTCTTTATGCATCGAATTCGCGTCGGAGTTCGGTCCGAACGGCGGTAGCCTTCCTTGTATAGACGGTGGGACTTGCGCTCGGACGTTACTATTGTGTCGCAAATCGTTGAAACCCGGCGGTGGCTGTGAAAAGTTCGGTACGGAGAAATTCGGTGGTGGCTGCGTGAAATTCGGCATCTGGGTATTATTACTCGCTGTGGAAAACGGAGGTGGAGGTACCCCGGTCATAGCCTGGAAGTTCGGGAAATGCGGCGACGACCACTGCTGAGAATTATTCCACGTCGACGTAGGCACGTTAGGTGGTAACTGTGTCGACGCTGCCTGAGAAGCGGACGAAGTCGTCTGTGTATTAGACGTAGCTGCTTCTGTAGCTGGTGGCGGAGGTGGCGGTGGAGGCATGTTAGCATTCTGCTTGCCAGTCAAACCAAGCGTTTTCCCAATCCCCAATAGATTGTTGATCAATCCTTGATTCTCCGTGTTCGACAGTATATTCATTATCTTGTCGTCGCCAGGTAAATTTTTCTTCTCAATCTCCATCTTGGTCGTAGTCTGTTTCTGTTGCTCGCGTTTCTTACGCATTTGCTCCCGTCGTTCGATGAGCTTCTCTCGCCAGGATGTCCACTTCTCTTCGTACTGTTTGTACTGATTCTGCAAGAGAACGACGTCCGTTTGAAGAGAAATTCGAAAATCGCTAGTTCGTTCGTCGACGCTTTCATCACCACCCCTTCTCGATTTAATGTTCTGTATTTCATGATAATTTTAACATCACTTACCTTGTCTGGGTGATTAGCATTCTGCTGTTTCCACTTATTAAACTGTTCCTCCCACTGTTTGAATTGAGCGTCGAACGTTTTCTCCGCCTCGGTGAGCTCTTCGTCTTCGATCTTCATTTTTTTAACACTACTAGATTCACTGACCGAACAACTGCCACTGCGTTTTAAATTGTTCTCGCTGCTATTATTATTATCGGGGGGTAACGGCGGCTGACTCGGGGGTAGCGGGGGGTTGTTCGGAGGACAGTTTTGCGCGTTCCCGCTTTGTTTAATCGGGAACAATGGAAGATTGTTCTGATGAGGTGGAGGCATGCTCGTGAACTGATACGCGTTCGTCGTGGTCGGAGGCAAAGGCGGTTTCGCCGCGTCCTCTTTTGGAAGCGGTGGCGGGGGTTGCGGTAATTGTGGCACCGGACCGGTTAAACTCATATTCTGATTCGACATCCGCTTCATCGTTTCCTGGTACTGAAACAAGTTTCAGTCTCATGATCATTTGTCTCGTTCGAGGACACTGTCTCTCTTATATACCTTCTCCCCGTATTGTGCTTGCCATTGCTGATATTGTTGCTGCCATTGCTGCCACTGGGCCCAATTTTGCTGTTGAGCCGCGGCCCATTGTTCTGCTGTGTACCCGCTCGGTGCCTAGCAAGAACGAATAAAATAATATTCGATCCCACTCCAACTACTTGTGTGAATTACGAAATCATTCTTTGACGAAGCGCGTTCGATATACTCTGTAACACATGGTGCGAAAGAAAGATACTTACTGGCTGATTATAATACTGCATGTACGCTTGCATCATAGCCATAGGATCTGCCCCGGGTGCAGCGTAGCCAACTGGTGGCTGCGGCATTGGAGTAGCAACAGCACCAGTTGAAAGTTGCCATTGGTTCCAATTTTGCATTTTTAAACCCTCTCTCTTTAGCAAATGGCTTGCTAGCGCATTCCAAACTGTGTTTTAAGGGCCGCAGTCCGTTCGGACGCTATTTTGTATTCGAAAGAAAATTGTTATAGAGTTTACCGTCACATGTACATTTGTAAAAGAAAAAAATTCTAACGATAGATCTATCATTTTATTTTTATTTCTCGTGATACACAACCATCGGTCGTTCAATTGGACACATATAAATATCGACAGAATTTATATACACAAGCAACGTCGTATGTAAATCGTGTGAAATTAATGTATATAGAGTCTCGGTAATTGTAGTAAAAGTGGATCAGATGAACGCATAAAAAGTTGAATACATAAAAATATAAAATATATATGTTTAATACGTTGACAGATGTAAATGCAGGTTTTTATCGAAACATGCACATGTTATAATTATCATAAGTCAAACTTTATTTCAAAATTAATGTAATAAGATCAGAATTGATATGTTCTCTTCTTCTTAGTATTGAGTTTGATTTATAGATGCGAATGTCACGTTAATAACAGTAATTTTGGAAGGGATGCTCGAGGGCTGAAAGTTGAAGGACTATAATTGTTACATAATATTATAGCAGTATATGGTGTACTTGTTGGAAAGATAAAATATACGTTTAGGGAAAAGTGGGTATGGAGACAGAAAGGCTCAAGTCCATCGAATAAAATTCTATGAATTAACACCTTATTATCACCTTATACATTGTAATCATTAAAACGTATGATCGTAAATAAATATAAACAGCACTATCATATCTCATAAAATATGAAGCGTAATACACGTGATGTACAACTCGGAACAAAGTTGTATTCGCAAATGTATCCTAACATAACAGACGTACTGCAATAAAAATTGCACTTGATAAAATGTAATATAAATGAAATACATCTTATTATTACTAATATACAATTAATCTATGTACAGTTCGTGAAAAAGAATCATCCCTCTATCAGTAACGTACACAACGCACAAAAATGTGCTGTAAATTTTAAATCGGATTATAAAGAAACGTTTCATAGTGTTCAGCTTACACAAAGCCAAATTAGGTCAAATAAAATGTACCGATGTCTTCGGTACGCGACATAGGGGCGCGTTGTTCACGACAGTATGCATAAGAATTTCGAATTGTATCGATTGCTTAAAATATATCTGCGCTCCTTAAAATATCAGGAAGTGATGTTCGAACGTAAATGATCGTCATTAACATCGACGACGTGTCTTTTAATTACGGCAGTGCGAGTCTTCCGACAGTAAATGTTTCGATTTACGTAAACGCATTCTGCTATTTAACGATGCAATCAAACAGCCACGGCAAAGAGCAAGTATCGCGATATTTGATATGAGCTTGCAGAACGTGTAAGAACGAAACTCAGAAATATTCATAAGTATGTGTCTAAAAGTAGGTATGTAGAATTCACAGAATTGTACTCACGATTTGGTGTATTGGAAGCCTGAACGCTTTCGCAGTGGTATCGACGGTAACCGTGCTCTGTTACGAAATTCCGCAAAGATACGCACGAAATAATTAATTGGTATTATTCGGAACTTATGGCGGCCGAAGACGACACATGTAACATGAACATAAGAATCGTAAAAGTGCACTGTACAAATACGAACGCTGTGCAACAGCAACAGCCGTCGCCGTCAGCCGTGCAATGATTGTTACGCCTCGAAAATGGCTATAGGAAGGAAAGCGATTGTCGTAAATTGACCTGCTCCCACGCCTGGCTTGGTCTGCGGCTCTTCGGAATATCTTATAATACAGATCTAACGTTCCTGATAATTTGATCCAATTCTTGACTAATTTTTCGAATTTTTAATCGAGCTCCTTAAATTACAATGATAGTTTTTTATATCAATTTATTATTTCTTCTTTTTTTGTATGATTCCTGTATCATTTAAGAGGTATGCCATACTATCGAGTTTCGTACTCTCTGTATAACACGAAATTTGGACAAACATTTATTGGAACGTTCAAGTAACAATAAATCGCATGAACCGTACGAGTTGCACGTAACGAAAAAATATTTATCGCATTAGATTAACTTTCGTTAAATCGTTGTCAGTTTAATTGTATTTCATGCTCGAGTCGGTGAGTTCAATACATTTGTGAGGTTAAACCCATGCTCTTCGTATCCCCTTCTTACTCTCCGAATTACCTCAAAAATCTTGTAAATATTGTTACAGAAACGATGAGCCTACTTTCGCTAATCAGAACTGCATTTCGTACCGTTGGGTCTATCGCTCCAAAAGCATCAACAGAATTTACAACTATTATAAATCGTAATATTCATCATATTTGTAGTCAGCAACCTCCATACAATTCCTTAAGTATTTCTATGAATAAGACTAGTTCGCTACTACTTCGACCATTAACACCGGTGTACAATGTCGTGAGCGGTTTAAAAATGAAAACTGTGTTACAAAGGAGATGCAGACACTGTATATTGATGTATAAAAACGATAGGGCTTACATAAAATGTAAGGCGAAGCCAAGGCACAATCAGGTAGAAAGGCAGAAAAAGGAGTACAATACATGGATTCTTACTAGTGCTTCACAGAGTAAACGTAGGGAATGGTAGAATAGAATGTACAAAACAACTGTTGATTAGTTCATTAAAATTTGTATATAAATTTCGATTTATTCGACTAGTTTTCCCCCCTGACACGATCTTCATACGTAACACCAGACAATTCAATTTTTATTCAATGTACAACGTTATACATTTCAAAAGAGTTTGACTCAACATCTGTACGTACTGGATGCTGGAAAAATATAATGTTATTAGTCATTTTATTCTTCTCGTATTACACGATAAAAGTTCTCTTACTGTAAGGAGGGCATGTATTGATGCAAATAGTTCGTAAAGTTGTGTACGGATGATATTTATTGTAATACCGGGCGAAACCTCTGGGCATCGTTGGAACGAAAGGGCAGAGAGACGAGTAACAGACCTATTAGAATTATTATTTTACTTCCACGTGAACGCCATTAATTTCTTTTAATATACGTACTGAATTGTACTCGACGGGATTCGGATGGATAATTCCAGCAACCGGCGTCTTGCAAGGAGCAGACATTTTCGTTTTGTACAGAATTTCTATTTAAAATTTTATAACTACGTTTTAATACTACAATTTTAGCTAATCGTGTCAGTTCACCAAACGGTCTGAATCGAAACGCGAAAAAATACGTCACATTTTACCATCGTTTGTTTTATGTATTCAAATTTTTATTCGTAGAGGAACACTTTACGTGATAAATTATATTACAATTAGTCTTATTTCATTACTGCGTCACAATTACTTGCACCCGGGAATATTATTTTAATCGTATTTAACAATTAACAATCGTTAGTAAAGATAATTCGGTAAGGGGAAAGTGAACATAATCATATTTGTATCGTTGACGTTGATCTCACTCTGAATATCTCCTTGATCGAGCATTTGACTCGCCGTTATTTCCCGCCACAAATCTGTTTGCACGGACGAGATCCCACCTGACCAAACCTAAAAAAAAAGAACAATTCTATTAGGCATTTAAATTAATTTTCCAAGTCACGACATCGAAAACGACACGAACCTTCTGACAGTGGACCGCCCACAAGTAAATCATAGTGTTCTCCACCTTCTGGCATAGCTTCTTCAAATTTTTCAACAACTTCATCGCTTTATTCTTCCGAGACCTGATCATCCAATAATACGCCTTCATTAATATATATCTGCAATAATTCAATACGTTTGATATAAAGTATATCGCAGGATGGAGGATCCCTAGATCAATAGTATTAAACAGTTGTTATAATAGAGGGATATTAACAGACAGTATATAAGTTTCGCGACAATTCTATTTACCTGGGTAGCGCTATTTTCACTATCTTAATAACTTTTTTTACATTCTTAAAAATCGTATTTATCTCCGCCATAGTCACGGCTGAGTCAGCGTTTCTGCTGTTTGTCCTGTGCACTGTGCGGAGGAAAGGAATTTAGTTGTTCGTAAAATATTCAATATGTTGAATATTCGAAATAGTGAAAATTGAATACCGTAAAGGATTAATAGACCTTCGATTCTTTTCAACGAAGTAATCGTAGCCGCTACTATTTGTTCGTCCATAACGGAGGTACTTTCCGCCTTCCTATTGCCCCATACTTTCGCAGCTTCCCACTGTTCAGTTCTTATGCACCTTGCAGAGAAATTTCAGTGGATATATGTATAGAAAATGAAGGTTTAAAGTAAATGGAAATAAAATCAAAGCTATTTGCGTTTTCTACAAGTGCCATCGGAGCACTTGATAGATGGAAATTAATTGCAAACTGATTTTTGCAAGACAGTACCAGAGCCACATAGACGTGAAATATCGTCTTTCCGCTTCCGGGTCGAACAGGCTAATCATTTGCTCGCCTTCCCGTAGAAAGTACTGTTCGCAAGTTTGAAACGGAATGATCGTTAACCCTGTGTCCAAATGTACGTCAGCGCAAAGCGCGAAATACCAAGTTCGCCCGGATTTATCCAAATCGTGGAACGAGATAAATTCTGTAATTTATTAGTCAGTCAATATTTTCCCGAGCGGGTTGACGTGAGAGCACAATTAGAAATTACCTAATTCTCTGAGCTGAGTGACCACTTCCGAGTGCCGGCAAGCGATCATAAGCAAGTGAACTAATCGCGGTATTATCAATAAGCTCAAGAACGTGGATCCGATCGTGTTAGCAATTCTACAGCAAATAAATCCGATCTGTGTGGCTTTAGTGATGAGCCCCCTTATCCAGCGAGAAAAGAATATTCCTGCGTATAGTTCCGCGATCACGTTCAGCTCTTGAGCCTCGAGTGCTTCTTTACTCTCGTTGCAAATGTCAATGCTCTTTTGCTCCAAATAAGGAATTATATGCCTGAGCATAAAAATTCGATCCGATGATCGAACTATACTATACATTTGTGAGCTCGAAACTTACCGATCTATGTACATGTGCGCAGTGATCAGCATGTGAGTGTACGATATGCAAATAACTGACAAACTTCTGTTCGATTTCAAAGCTGCGTTGAGACCCCAGATCGCTGCCAGGCGCGCGTGTTTTTTCATTCCTTTGGTCTACGTGAAATATAATTTTGATTAAGAATTGTTTCAATCTCTTTCCTTTATCAATTATCACTTCGTTTACCCTGAAGAGTTCAAACATTTGGATCAGGCATTCTGCCAATTGTTCTGTATAATTCACGTTCATGTCTTCTTGAGTGGTGTCAAGCTCCCAAACCTTCAGACAGATCAGCCTCGATTTCAGCTCGATCAATTGTAAAATCGAATTCAAATCGATCACTATTTCCATCTTTGGGAATTTGAAGCCCAAATTGTGCAATGCCATCACGAGCTTTTGCTCGGCTTCGAAAAGTGAACCACTCTCGAGGAAGCAGTGACCCTGAAGAGTTTGAATCTTCGCCGAAAGATACGGCAGAAGGATCATCTCGTCCTCGTTCGTGTGGAACAACTTTGGATGTGGATGTTAAATTAGGGTAAAGAATTAGTTCTAATCGTTAAAGTGTAATTGTGTGTCAAAAGACACCGATGACCGTGAGATATTCTCGGCAGATATTTGTCCTTTGACACCATGCACGTAAAAAATATTAGTGATACTTAGGTGGTCATACTTAAAAGGACCACCCTGTATATTTATACAAGAAAAGATTAATGTACGAAATGTTAATAAACTACACGATGACGAGACGAGCAGGTGAAAAATGTTAACGAGTTCAATGTACCTCGCCAAGGAGGACTTCGCTTTCCGCTAGAAGCTTGCGAGCTTGCGGTATATTGTACATCATCAAACAGACATCTGCAAATTCTAGTATAACATTTAGCGTCTTCTCGGTTTTGCCTAGAACATTATGCAAATTGATCTCGCTTTTGTAACATCGATTGCCTCGAATCGAGAATTTCTCAAAACCCGCATTTCCTACCAATGCCGCGGCAGTGCTCAAGCATTTGCGTGTACACTGTCATCAGTATTAAATCGCACAGGCAGCTAGTGAAATCTACATCTGAGAACGTGAGCATCGGCCTCTTTTCGACGGGTCGAAACACATTTATACACGAAAGAAACGGTTTGACTTCTGAAAGTATAAATAGAATAAAATGCTACTAACATTTCTGATCAGACATCCGATATGCAAGAATCCGACATCGTTAATATTTACTTTTTTCCACCTGATCTTCGTTCGAGGCTGAGTCGTATTCCATATCGAAGATCTCGTCTATACTCGGGATTTTTCTCTTTCTTTTCCTGTCCTCTTTCGTCGACACCTTACCCAATAACTTGGCGAATTGTCCCTCACCGCAGGGCACGCAACGCCTCGCGTGGTGTTGCAGGTATTTCAACGCCTGATTGTGCAGCTCCATTTTCTGATTTTCCGTCAGCAACCTTGATTCAGAGCTTTTAAGTAAAGGCTCGACCATTTTTAATAATTACGCGATAAGTACCGATACGTAGTATCACGAAACAGTGTCATCTTGAATCTCATCAAACCACACGATGCATATCTCGGCAAATCTTCTAATTCCTCTGAGAACATTTTATGTAGTAAGAAAACGATGTATATTTCATGTACGTTCGATTGCAATTTATACCGGGGACGGTGAGACCAATACACTTGCAAAACACGTCCACCTCTGAACTAGGGTTTCGCATGTTTCTGATAAATATTATAGGCCCTGTGTTTTGGCTGAAGTCTCCAATCGCACAGCCGAACACTCGTATCTCAAAGAGCTTCGAAATGGCTGATAAATCATAGCCACAATTACAATGGAAACTTTCGTTAAAAAATTCACTGTTATTGTACAATATATAAGAAATGATAAAAGTTTGAAGAATACCAAGTCCAATTTCTCTCTTAGACGTGACCGTCATCAAGCTCTCTAACATGTGCCTGTTCACCGTCTCCCCGATCACGGAAGCGCACTTCAAGAGGAGCTGGTCAAGCGGCGTCAAAGAGTCGAACAACTTCAGAATCATAACTGATCCGGTACAAGGTACGTCTCATTGTTAATTAATATTATAACGCGTTTACTGCGAACGGTTTGTCTTTACCGTCCATCGTGATTTCTGGGTCAACGTCCTCGTACGTGATGGTCTCCGAGATCTTACAGACTGCGATCATTGTCTCGTCGTTGTCGATACTCAAATCGTTTTTCTCTACGATATGGTCACCAGGCTTTTCGAACAACGACAGCATGCTGTCCTACAGTCGAAAGCATTTTACGTCTGCTAGACGTCCACTACTAATAGTATTCAATTGCATACCTTGAAACTCGCTCTGTACATCTGCCACCTGTCCTTTCGATAATCGCGACTAGCCCCGGCCGTGAAGTTGTTTAAAACAAATCTGATTCCGAATCGTTTGCGATAAATACAGCGAATAATTATACACGCGATGAATGTTTGTTTGAATAAACCTTTTTAACATAGTCAGAGAGGGGAGCACGTAGCCAAGCTCGTTCGCTTCTTTTTTCGTTATGTTCACTATCTCCAGGCCACCCGCTTGAAGAAGGCTCACTAAGTAACTCTCGATCCAACCAGGATTCCCAAAACTTCTCTCATGTATGAGTCTTTAAACGATCCGTACGAGATTTGATAATACATTCATTATGTTCGAATGCAACTCACTTTTCGAGCTCTGCGGGCAGGCCGTTCACGTTAAGCGTTTGGCAGGCCAACCCCGCGTGATACCATTTATCTATTCCGTATAATTCCGCCACCTTTTAGTAAGTAACTTATTATCAGCGTCCTATTCATCGAATTTCTCATTCGGAGAATCGATTCCATACCTTTCCTCTAGACAGAAAGCTGTAATACAATTGAAAATCCGTGCCCAGTTTTCTCCCAATGCTCAACACGAAGAATATCATATCTTTTTTCGTGAGTACATCGAAAATGTCCAACGATTCTTGATCGCTGTACTCCGCGTCGTCTATAAGCACCACCCATAATTCCTCGAAACAGCCCTTCATCAATTTCAACACGAACTTTCGCAGGATTTTTAGTTTGTCCACCTCGTTCAGGGCGTTGTAATACGGCGTGATCGGGAACCGCACGTTGAACGGTTGATTAAGAACGCAGAGGAAGTGCGTGCGCTTCACTTTCCCTAATCGCATGAGTAGCTTGTCTTCGCGTTCTTTTCGCGTGGACGTTGGGGTGAAACCGAGAGGCATTGAAAATATCAAGTGTATCAGGCTGTACGGGGCCTACACTAAGAGATAAATAAAATTTCGTTGATGTCAGGAGTAATGCAGGCTGCATCCGTTCGAAATTCAAAAGGACATGTACGCATCAGACTGCATATTTTTATGCGAAACGAGACATTTGTGTCAATCTCAAATGCATAAAATCTGCAGTTCGTGGATCAAGCGATTAATTTGATCGTGAAGCTTAATTGAAATGTGTAAACTGTCAACCTCGGCGTCCGCAGCTTGCAAGGCAACGTAATTACAACGCGTTCCCATCGGAATATTTTGAGTGAACTCGTCTAGCAATCTCGTTTTCCCTATTCGTGGCTCACCCCTTGATAAGTCAAGATTAAAATATACGTGTCACTACTAGAGTTATCAGGGACCAATGATCGTACTTGAGCATAGCAATAATATATGTCTGTATAGACTAAAATTTAAAGCGTGAGATTACTTTATGATCAACGTGTTGTACTCCGGCCGATCTCCGCGTTGCGCTTTGCTCTTAGCAGAATACTCCAACAGTCCCGTCAACATGCTTATAAAAAGTTTTATCTCACTATCGCGACCGAGTAAAGGATACTTGTTCCAAACCAAATCCGTCACAGTGTACCTGAGAGAGTGCATCGAAAATTAGCCATCTGATTTCTTCGAGTAGATCGAGAACGATTACTTGGCCTGTTCATGAAACTCGTATATGGGACCGACGTTTGTGATTCCTTTCAAGAATCTCGGTTCTTGTAGAATGAAATGCCTTGCTTCGAGATGAGAATGAAGAAAACTTTCTCGATCGCAAACAACCTGAGCGACCATAAATATCAAAGAGAAATACAACCAATTCACCGTAGACATTAAAATTCTCACTTTATCTCGATACACGACCATGAGCCTGGCAGCCTTGTTCACGGACATCCCAATCACGGTGTACTCCCTTCGCAAAATGTGACCCACTACTCCACAATACGTCATCCCCGTCGTGACTCCCACCGACACCGATTTAATATTTTCCATCGCTAGCAGACTGGATCGTAGCTTCGTCGCGCATCTCAGACCGATCTGAGATTCCAGTTCGTGTTTGTCGCCGCGTAGACCGAACACACACAGGAACATGAGGTCCTTGTCGAAGAGGGATGTTTTGTTCACGCATCCGTGCATCTCGCCGACGATACTTGATCGAGAGAACGAAAGGAGAATTGAACAAAACGTTGGACGAGGGACGGAGGGAAGCGAGCTTACTTGCAAACTAATTTATAAGCCGAGTTCACAAGAGAGATCAACGTCCTTTTCCTGATGTTCGTAGTGATCACGTTGATGAACAGAATCACCACTTGCCTCATCTCGGTTAAATACTCCAGAGGCTCGTCCATTTCCACGGATCGAATCACTGGCCTCAGCATGTAGCTCCTTAAAGCTCCTTTCAACCGAGCTTTCGCTATCTCCACGATCTTCGGCCGCACTGAAACACACGTTTTTGAACATCGAACTTCTTTTGAAACGCGATCGTTTCCTCACAGCTATAATCGACTTGTTTGAAGTCCTCTTGGTAATTGTTCCCAGTTAGGTTCAACATCGCGACTTGGGACTCGTGATCCAATCTCGTTTTAGATATATAGACCGGTTCCTGCAGCACTTCCGGCATATTCACATCTTCTTCCTCCTCTTTATAGAAAATATTTTATTTGGCAAACATCGTAAAGAAAAATGTCAGATTATTTTTATTCGTACCGTCGGTGCTGATTGATAGGTCGTCCCTGGCTTGATACCACATGCTGGTGCAAGTTATAATAAGAGTGTGTATACCATCTGGTAGCGTTTCGTGAACGTATTCGTGTGGGTTCACCCACTGCCAGCTGCTGGGTGCCACCAGTATGTCACCACCTCTGAGAAAACACGAATAAAAATAGCGATCCTTCGTGATATTTCCCCTTTGGTTCATTACCGGCACAAGCCTTCGGCATATTTCACGTCCCATACCGGTTTCCCAGTGATAATGTAATAAGACGCGGATTCTGGATCTCCTATAGAGGTGAAGTACGTTTTTCCCGAAGCAATGGCTAATTTAACTACAAAATTCGAATTCGACGCGTTCATAGAAGGATACGAAGAGTGTGCATGCATCGTGCAAAAATGAATAGGTCTCGGCGAATAAACCTCTGAGAGTGACTCCAACATCCGTGTCGTAAGTCCCGAAATGTTTCTGAATGACGCAAGCGGTGTTCATCGCTTCCACTGCCAAGTCCCTCATCATCATCCCTTCGTGGAGCTTCCACATTACTATGAACGCGTCCCCGGAGAACTTCAACACGTCCCCGTTGTGGAAGAGTATTTCCTGTACCATCGCGCCGATGTAACTGTTCAGAGTTTCCGTCAATTTGGAAGGCCCTCCCTTCCCTGCTTTAGTGTATTTCTCGGCAAGATCCGTGAAACCTTTGTTGAGAGGTCCCTTTCAGGTTCGTTCGAATAAAATTGCGCGACTTTAAGCACAAGTGTCGATTGTACGAAGCTCAGATATTATCGTTCAAACAATTTTTAACGCAGATTCTACTGCTTCCTGTTTCTGATTCATCGCACCTGATATATCACCGAGCATTAACGTGGTGTAGTACATCCTAGTATTGTAATCGTCGTAATACTCGAGAATCTCGTCTGGGCACATGGACGCGAATATTCTCGTGTGGTGTTCGATTCTCAGTTGCGACGCCCTCGAATCAGTATCGACGTTGGCATCGAAACTTCGAGTAACCACTGTCAATCACATTCGCAATTAATTCGCGTCTTTAATTAGGAGAATTCATAGACTGCAGCTGTCTTACCGTTTTCCTTTACTTTACTTGTGCGAATGCTCCTCCGCGCAGCTCTCGCAGCAGTATTCTTTGTACCACCGTCCATCACGTTTCTATTTGAATTTATCTTAACTTATTATTACAAAGGTTGTGCTGTAATAAATAGCGCAGTGCATGCGATTTTCTTTTCCGTGCGTGAGCCAACTTCAGTTTATAATCACAGATTGCTTACGAGCCCGTTCTAAGCCGATCCGATTATCGGGCGGTATTCAGAGTCGTTGCTTACTTTTTAAGGATGTATTGGCTATACAGTCAATCCCAAAAGTTTATCTACTTTAGAAAAATGCATTTCCTACAATTAAAAAGAAATCAGACGTCGGAAGAACAATGCTAATAATAAATCGCTACGTGTTAAAAAGTATAGAAGGAAATATCC